AAACACTCCGGGCGACTTATTTTTAAGCAGATGTGCAGGGCAGGGCCCTTCATGTTTCACTCATCTTTTAATACTCATGTACCTAAAAAGACAAGTGAAGAACCCCTGTGTGTGCGTGTGGAGGGGGTGGGTGGGCTGTGGTGGCAGGGACTCGTGTGTACATGGTGGTGGCAGGAACAGGGCTGGCAGGAAAGCGAGGCAGGAGGCACAGCTGCTGAGAGGGGAACGGACAGTTCCCAGCAATGCCCAGTCGCAGCTCTCAGATTCCAGGTGGGCTCCGCATGGCTCACTCCCAGAGCTGCCCACCACATGCCCAGCTCCCTGGCTCTGCCCTGCCCTGCCTGCCACTGAGGGGCCATCTTTAATGGCTCCTGGGCCCTGTGCAGGGAGAACAGTTTTGAAATCCTTGAAGACAACCAGCCGCCTTCCAGGGGGTACCCCCTTCCCACGTGCATGGGAAATCGGCCGATCATGCGGGATGCCCTCCACTGGACCCCAACAGACGGGGCCTATGGACACGCCAGCACACCTGCGTGTGTGCATGCGTGCACATTCTCTAAGTCACTGGGTGAAGAGAGGACACTTAGGTCCCTCTGCCCACCTTCTTGACGGGCCAGCAGTGGCCTCCAGTGACCCTCTCTGAGTGCTGTGCCTCCAGTTGACAAAATGCTTTCACAGCCCTCATTTCCCCAAACACTCCTCACCTGGTTTTATCCATATTTTATGAGGAAAGTGAAGCCTGTCGAAGGTAAGTGCCTGAGGTTACAGAGCTCCTGAGTGGTTGGGCTGAGACTCAGACCTGTGCCTCCAAGCCTCAGGCCCCACGCCGCCAGGCAACCCATGAAGCTCACACCCTCACCATTGAGAAAGCAGAGGACAGAGGACAGCGGTGGCCTGGATTCAGCCTGTCCAGGCCCCACCCAGCCCTGCCCAGCTGCTTGAGCCTGGGCGACTTCGCCTCATCTCACTTCCATGTTTAATAATGTGGACCCCAGGAGCTTGTTCTAGGATTCAAGAAAATCATGGGTGTGAGAGGGCTTTGCAAACTGGAAAGTGCTGTGCACAAGAACGAGGTCGCTGGGGGCCTAGTCAGGTCATTTCGGTTCTGTGAACCTCAGCACTGTCACCTGAAAATGGGGTTGGTGACACCCACTTTGTGGGACTGTGGTGAGGACTGAGCAAGCTCAAAGAAGTGGGGCTCTGACACTGTGGTTAAGATAACGACAATGGTTAGCTCCCCGGGAAGAAAACCACCTTGTCACAAATCAGGGTCAACCCTCCAGGCATGAGCCACGTGGCTGTTTTCTCTGCTGCCCTCCCAGCTGACAGACCTTGATGTTTTTCTCGGGTTCGAGGGGAGCATCTTCCTTTGGAAGAAGGAAGGGGCTGTCTGGGCAAGGCTGACTGCCCTGGTGAGGAGAAACACTCTTCCTAGCACGGCACCCTGCCCCGACTGTAGATGCAGCTTGAGGATGAAAAGCTTGGTGCTGTGGCAACCACTCTGCAGCCATGAGGCAAAGATCAAAAGAAGCCTGGACTCTTGGATCCCAGGGAGCAGCTGACTTCTGAACTATGAAAAATGCCAGCCCCTGTTAATTTAAGCTGCCGCTTGAGGGGTTTCAGTTATTTGAAACACATGCTTTCCTTACAGATTCACGGGAACAAGGGAGCGAGCCCAACTGGAGCACAGGAGAGCCCAGGGGCATCTCCCTAGCTGTGTCCTAAAGCCCTTAGTTAATCCTTCCCTAGAAGGGAATGTCCCTTGCCGTCAGCATAGGGACATTCAGCCCTCGCAGTGTGGATTGTAGTGGAAAGAATGGTGTGTCATTATTTGGGGGCCCTAGTATGTGCCAGAAGATGGGACACAAAGAGAAACGGGCTCACAGTCTAGCCAGAGACACAGGCACTAATCCAACACTGTGTAACATAGTGTCATGGGATGTAATATCACATCGCATCCTATGTCACATAGCATACCACCTAAAAATATAATATAATGCAATGTAATGACATGAAATCTAATATATCACATAATAGAGTTTCATACTGTATAACATTTTAAGTCATTACTTTAAAAGTGTATTACATGATGCTCTCCTGAATTAGACCAAAAGCATCCCTGTGCTATGATGCCCTGAGGAAGAAGCTGGGGTCGGGGTCAGGGAGGGCTTTCAGGAGGAGCTGAGCCTTCCAGAATGAGCGGGAGTTAGCCAGACAGACAGCGGAGAAGGGCATTCCAGGCAGAAGGGATGGCATGAGCACAGAGGCCAAAAATAGCCCCTTTGGGTGAGGAGTTCTGTGCTGCTAGGGTATAAATTGGGACACAGGGAGTGACCGGCCAGGATCAGGTCATTTGGGAGGCCCATCAGGTGTCCTGTTGAGTCTGGCCTCGTCCCTTGGCCAGTAGGGAGCCCCCTAGGTCTTAGGGGAGCTAAGCAGGGGATGGAGTGAGGCAGTCTGACCAGCTTTCAGCAGAGCAGCCAAGAGGGGCTCTCGGGGGGCTAACAGCCAGGGCAGCTAAGACAGGCCCCGGTGGTTGTGAATTCTGGGCAGAGGTGGCAAGGTGTTAAAGGAGAGAATGGCTCCCGACTTTGCCCTCTAGAAACACTTATCCCGGGAGCACAAGGAAAGTTTGTTGTTTCCCATGGAAACCGCTTTCTGGTCTGCTGGGGCAGGTAGAAAGGGCATAGCCTGTTTAAGGATGGGGTGTGGGGAGCCAGGGCCTGCTGACACCCTCTGTTTGAGGCCTCACACTGTGCCAGGTGCAGGGCTCAAGGCTGAGCAGTGGGCAGGGCAGCCCTGTCCTCCTCTTCCTCTTGTCCTCTGGAAGCCTCAGAGTTCAAAAGCAATTTCTGGTCACTAGGCTGACTCCACGCCGTACCAGGAGCTGGGGACAGTGGTTCCTCTTCCTTCCTCAGGTCCTCCTTGCCTTTGGCCCCATGAAGACCAACTTCTTGGGCAGGACACACGGGAGGGAGAGCAGATTTTGCAAAACAGTGTTATGTCTTTTATGCCATTGATCCGTGAACAGAGCCAGGAGCTGGCGGCGTAGCTTCATGATTACCAGTCAGGGTCCTGAGGTTAAAACACTTGAGCACCCGGCCGCACAGCCCCCAAGGGCAGAGTAGGGACCAGCTCCAGCATCCAAACCAGATACCTGCCCCCAGAGGTCACTCAAGGAGAGAGGATCCCATGGGCCTGCGCTGAGCCCAGGTGAGATGAATGGCCCTAAAACTGCGATAAACATCTATATTTTGTCCTGCCAGAGCTGCCATCTCTCTTACTGGAAGTGGCAGGAAAGCCGCGAGGAGGGCAAGAGGAATGAGGTGCAGGAGCCTGTGTAAAGATGAAACGCAAAACGCCCTCCAAAGCCCCAAACGTGAGGCTTTTGCAAAGCTGGCCACCCACAGCCGCGTCGATGATGGGCTTTTTCCACTGCTGGGTTGAGGGGCTGCTGGGGCTTCTGGATCTGGGAGGCAGCCCATGGAAAATGGGTGCAAAGAACTGAGAAAGGAAAGGGAAACTCCCAGTACCCTGCCCCTGACCTGTGTCCCCCCCCATCACATCACCACTGTCTGACACATGGCAGACCCAGGCCCGACTCAGCTTCTCCCTCAGGGTCCAGGGGCTGTGAGGAAAGCAGCCCAGCCTTGCCCTTTTCTCCTTTCCTCCCTGGCACTGGCCTTCCAGCTGCCGGCCCTGCCCCAGGACCCCACAGCCCCTGACAGGCCACCCAGTGACTGCTCCCAGGAGGTGCCCAGGTTCCGGGCAGACATCTCCCAGAAGGCATTGTCAGCAGCAGTCAGTTCTTTAAAAAGGCTTCGTGTCATGCTGCAATCAGCGGCGGGGCCGAGGCACCCGGGTATTTATGAATGTGACTGTCCTCCCAGAACATCTCCGTGAAGCTCTCAGATGAGCTGATGGGGGTCTCTGCATGGTGTCCGGTCTCCCAGACCCTCCCTCTGAGGAGACGTTGTTCTCATCTGTATGCCCCGGGTTTATTCAGGGTGACGGCGGCACGACTCTGCCACGGCGCTGCCTGTTTTGAACCTCACCACTGACGTGCCCTTCCAAGCACCTTCTTGCTCCCATGTCCCCTCTAGCTGTTTTCTTAGGAAAACAGTCACTTCCAACCATCCCCAATGACAATAGCCTTGAGAAAGAAAAGTTCGGCAATGTCAGGAGCACTAATGAGGTGGCCTTCGGGCTCGCAGAGGAGGAAAAAAAGTCACAACTGATGTGAGAAGAGGAAGAAACAACATTAAAAGAAAATGGGAAAAAAATAAAAACCAGAGATAAAAAGTCAAGAGAAAACCGCGGCGCCTGAGAAACAAGAATTCCAGCCGCCAACTTTTACGGCGTCCAGTCCTGTTATTCATAAGCGAGCTTCCTCTCTCACAAAGAACCTTTTGCACGGTTTTCCCTGCTGCCTCCAAACCAGCTGCTCGCGCTGTTGTATCCTGAGTGATGATGAGGCTCTGAAAGGGTTTTTTGGGAACAGATGGCCAGGGGAGAGCTGGGGAATGTGCCAGCAGAGGGCCGGGCGGGCTGCCAAGGCCTGCGGTGACTGAGTGCTTGGGCTTCCAGCTCGCGTGCTTTCCCTGCCCTCTGCCCTCCGTGGCGCCAGCAGGCCTTCCCAGCGAGCGCTCGGAACATCTGGAGTCTGGGGCTGCCAGGAGGGGGGGCCGCGGCGGCGGGGCGGGGGACCCTCTGTTCCAGCGGAGCTCCCATGGACTCACCAGCAGGCCCGCCTCGCAGAACAGCTAATCAAAACCACAGCACCCGAATGGGAACCAGGCGCGCTCCCAGCTGCAGCCAGAGGCCGCCAGGCGACTTAACCTGGTGTCAGGCCTCACCGGCGGCACAGAGCTGGGGGTGCCCGCAGCTGATAACACCTCCCTGCCCAACCCACCCCTCACCACCACCAGGGCCACCACCAGCAGGCTCTTGGCTCCCCGCAGCTAAATGAAGCCTCCACACGCTGCAGCCGGCCTACTTACATAAGAGCTGTCGCTCCGGGCAAGGCATGGCACCGGGCACTTGCTGGGGGCCTCCTGGGCACAGGCCACTGTGCTGGGCAGTGTGCGAGCTTCAGGCAGCGGGCTGGCCTCAAGAACTGAAGAGCTCAGAACTCAGAACCAAAGAGATAAAACAGGCTGGAAACTGAGCTCCGTCACTTCCTGGTCATGTGGCCCCAGGCAAGTTACGCCCTTCTCCTGGCCTCAGTCTTCCATCTGTGCAATGAGGGAAGTGGTCCCAGCTTTGGGGTTAGTATAACACGGGGTAGAGATCATGTGAGTGGGGTGCCCATAAGGGGACACGATGGCACTCACCACATGGTTGATGTGCTTGGTGGTGGTGATCTGCTGCACTGCTGATTAGCATTATTGTACGACCACATGTTATGCACGTTTCTTGGTATGACTCCCTGCACTTTGAAATCCGAGGATTTCTGGATGGGCTGCAGGCTGCACCCCATGCTAAGGGTGCAGAACCAGGGGTTTGGGCTGAAGTGCTAGAGAGGAAGGAATCTGTCACTCAGAAAGGCTGGTCCTTCCCCATCTGCCTTTTGGCTGGTCAGTCATTCACCCACCCTGGCACTGCCCTTTTCTGAGCTGTTCCTTCCTGGGGTTCCAGTTAAGTTGTTACCTTGTAGCTATGAATTCATGAGATTTCCTCTCTGGCACTCAGTGAGAACACACCAGCCCTTTCTCTTATGGGGTCTTGTTTAATCCTTTCAGCAAGGCAGCAAGGCAGATTTGTGTGCTCTCACTTTACAGATGAGAAGACTGGGGATCAGGGAGGTCAAGTAACATGCCCAAGGCCACAGAGCGAGAAGTGACAGTGCCAGGACTCAAACCCAGGTCTCTGGCCCCAAAGATCTGCACTTTGCCTACTTCACAGTTTTGCTGAGGGCCGCCATAGTGTGCGTTCCTGGTAGAACTACAGAGCACCAGAAAATGGTAGCACTACAGAGCACCAAAAAGAACTACAGCGTTCTCTGGGGTTAGCCCCCACCCTACACAGACACCCCTTCTCCAGCGTCCCAAGGGCCACTGAGCCTCCACAGGGGCTTCCAGAGAGGAACCTGGCTCAGAGGTGCTCCGGGGTTCTCTGCATTCCCTAGGGTTGTCAGTTAGGGCGTCAGAGGGGACTTCCCATGTCTCAGAGACTTTCTGAGCAGGAACAGCTGGTTTTTCTCCCTAAGTCAGAGACCCCAAGTTTTCATCCATTCCCAGTGTGCTGGGGAGAAGGGTGGGGCCTGGGAGCACATGTTGAGGGTGGGGAGTAATTTGGAAAAAGAGAGACGAGGAGGAAAGGGGCAGAAAGTGTGAAAAGAGGTAGGAAGCAGCACCCCAGGCTTTCCCCCGCCTCACCTCGAGACCACCCCGGGAACATCAGAGGCACGGTCCATGTTCCGGGAAAGCCAGCTCAGCTCACCTGGGAGGCTCCCCAGCCAATGACCCCTCCAGCCCAGGCCCGGCCAGACTTGTGGCCTAACAATGTCAAATGGGAGAAGAGAAACAGCAGCTGAGAGAACACTCCGTGTTAGAACAAACAGCTGGCGACAAACGTCTATGTAATTGGAATGCCAGAAAAAATAAATTGCATCCATTTTTATGGCTAGTTGGGAATTTGATGGTGGTTTCCCACCCACCCCCCTTTTCCCCAGCATAGATGGCCTCCTTGGGCTTTGAAAGCAGATGGTATTTAACTTAATAACTGGGCTGAGGGGGTTGGAGATGTGAGCCACCAACCTCCCCCCAACCCCACTCCCATGTGAGAAGCATGACAGGGAAGCGGTAGGAGCTGGGGGCACACACCCCTCTTAGTGGTTACGTGATCTCAGGCAAGTTCCTTGGGTTCAGGGAGCCCCGGACTCATGAGCTGTGCATCAGAGTAACACCAGTCCCCCACTTCAAAGGCTAGTGAGAGGAGCCCACGAGGTGATATCCGGGAAGTGCCAAGCACATGCCTGGCACACGATCCATACTCTCCGAACATCAGATGTCGCCAGTAGTCTCAGGGCAAACTGCCCTGGGGCCCCAGTAGTCTCTAGGAGTGACTTTCAAATCTCTGTGAAAAGCCCTGAGAAGTAACATGGGGGTCAGTCATTAAAGCAGAAAGAGGATTGAGGTGGGCTTGGCAAGGGCCTTAGAAATCACTTATGACAGCTCCTCACTTTTCAGAGACAAGGCCTTAGCAGGGCTGACAATGTACATGGGAAGTAGGAACAAAGCTAGGACAGTGCCCCTTGGTGGGCACCCTCAGGGCCGTAGGTGGGACTGAATCCAGGCAGGGTGTGGCTCTGGAGACTCCGCCTCCCACAGTCCACAGAAGGGGCTGGCGTCCAGGGATCCTGTCCGAGGCCTGGGCTCAGCTGTCCAGACAGAAGGGGGCCCCTCCTACACACCCTCAGCTCACACCAAATCCCCCTCACCTGACAAAATCCAATATGCCTGTCATCTTGTCCCTGGCACCGAAGCTAGAGGGGTCTGCACCCAAGACATTCTTCCAAAGAGGAGCCAGGCCATACTAGGACCCGTCCCCTGTCCCCAGAAAGCAGCAAGAAAAAGAGGGAGGACACAGATCTCACGAAGCTGCACTGGCTTAATTGCCACCTCTGGCTTCAGATCACCCACAGGGCCAGGAGCAAACCTCTCAGCCCCGCAGACCCAGGCTTCCCCGCACCGGCACACACAGCTGCAGGCACACCGCCCAGGGCATCTCATTTGCTGGCCAGGCCTCTGGTACAGCCCTCAATTCAGCACATTCTGGTTCATCTTGTCTCCCACGCAAAACCAGGGCCTTTGAGCAACTTGAGGGCAGGAACTTACTGGCCGTTTATTGCCAGGGCTCAAAATATGCTATCAGTTTGAGTAGCTGTTGTTGTGGTTATTATTATACTACTTGATGGCTTAAAATTATTAGAAGACAACGCCCTGGTTTGTGCAAAATCAGTGCTTTCCTATTCCATAGGTCTAGGGTGGCCCATCCAGCCCAGGTGTAGAAAAACAGTTCTGCCTCCTCCTTGTCTTCCTCTTTTCCCTCCTCCTCCTCAGAAGTTCCCAGGAGTTGCTGCTTTAAAAACAGGAGCTGCGGAAACGTGGCCCAGAGCCAGGTGCTTAACGTGCATTATCTCCGGCTGCAGCCAGAGTCAGAACTGAACTCCCCAGAGTCCTTACACGCCTCCTGCCCGTCTCTCTGCTGGGCGGCCTCTGACATGGGCCTCTGCACTACTGGGGCTTCCAAATGGGGCTCCAAATCCTCAAAGTCATGATCTGTGAGGCCCAGAAGGGGAGGATTCACTGGCCAAGGAATGCAGGTTCCCCACCCGCTGCTGAGAAAGGCTGAGATGGGCGGAAGGATGCACCTGGGCTTGGCGGGGAAGCCGAGTGCGCTTTAAATCTCATTCTTAATGCTGACCTGGACCCACAGCGCAGCTCCTTGGGGTGCGAGGGACCTCAGAGGACACTGAGCTCAACCTCCCAAGTGGGCATCTTGAAGGAGGGCCACCCAGCCTCTTTTGGACACATGAGCTCTGAGGAAGCAGTCCCTGCATGGGACAGTTCAAATGGCCACCAATCACATCAGCGATGACCACCACCATCGCAGCTGCTACAGCAGGCATCTGTTTGCGGCCTTACAGCCTTTGGTCCCAAAATTTTTTGCTCCCAGCCTCCTGCAGCCCTGCCTGACAGGCCCATCAGCAGTCCTGTACCCTAAGGCTTTAAACCCCAGTTAACATGCCAGGAGGGTGACTGTGAAGCTATGGGCCACCATGCACCTTGTCAGGAATTCCTTTACCAGGCAGACTTCCACAACCATAGACACATGGGGCGGCAAGCGTGGCTCACTGGGGTAGGAAGGGCTGAGAAGCAAGTAGGCCTGAGGTGGTCATCTCATTTTCCAGAGAGGAACAGCAAGGGACTCCGGCAGCCCTGAGTGGCCGTGAGAGGGACAGTGGCCTGAAGTCAGGTGGAGGGGCCCCACAGAGAAACTACACACTTGTGATATCATTCAGGCTCAAACTGGGCCCACGCTTCTGTCCCAGGGCCATCTTTAAGGTGATGCCAAGAGGCAAGCCCCAGGGTGGTGGCCTAGGGACTGTGTGCTAATCCAGACCCCGTGTGGTGCAGACTCCAACCCATGAACCCACCTCCTGGACCAGACAGGGCAAAGCAGGTCTGGATGCAAGGCTCTAGTTCTCACCCCTCTCCCACCCTCCTGTGCCCCTGCAGGACTCCGGGCAATCTCCCCAGCCCTCCTGGGTCCCCTCCACAGTCCACAGCTTCCTGATGGCCCCTGATGGCTAGAGATTTGTGTTAGAAGCAGAAATTCTTTGGTTTGCTTTTCCTTTTTCTCACTCTAACCACTCCTGGCTTCCAAATCCTCTAGACCAAGAAGTGTTCAGTCGCTGCAGAATGGTGGGGACTATGTGGTAAATTATTTTGTATCTGCACCGTGTCTGGTACATAGAGGGCACTCAACAGCTGTTCATGGAAGGAAGGAAGGAAGGAAGGAAGGAAGGAAGGAAGGAAGGAAGGAAGGAAGGAAGGAAGGAGGGAGGGAGGGAGGGAGGGAAGGAGGGAAGGAGGGAAGGAGGGAAGGAGGGGGGAAGTGAGGGAAGGGCAGGGGAGGGGAGGGGAGGGAAGGGGAAGGGAGGGAAGGGGAGGGCAGAATACCAAGGAACACTTTGAGATTCCCATCTCTTGCTCGGGGAACCCCTACAGTAGTCACATGTCCTGTTGGGGGCAGGGGGTGGATACCTGCTGAAGAGGGTGAAGGGTGGGGAAGAGGGGCTCTTCCTCACTGCACGTGCTGTAAGTTCCTGGGCTTCCCCCGGCCCCTGCCTGGCTCCCAGGCTGTGGTGTGGCAGGACTGAGCGCCGTGAGCAGTGCGTACTCTCAGTCACCTCTTCCCAAAAACTCATAACCAGGTGCAATCTACTGGTAGACCTTTGCAAGTCTTTTCATAGAAATAGTCCCAGACATGAGGAAAGAATGTTGGTTCGATTGTCCTGGGGGTTTGTTCCCCAAACAGAATCTCTGTAAATGGAGGTGTGGCCTCAGAGGCCCAGGCTGGGAGGTCACAAAAGGAAGAAAATAAAACTGGTGAGGTTCCAATTGCAATTCAAAAGCCAGGACATATCTAAAGATGTGCTCCTCATTCAGGCCATCTCAAGCCCCCCCAAAAAAGGGAAGGACAAGCAGCCCCAGGAGGCAGGGAAGTACCCTCCCCTGGGGCTCCAGGCCGCTCAGTCTCAGGGCCCACGAGTCCACTCCTGGGGCAGGACATCTGCCGAGGGGACCAGCTAAGGCCAGCTATGCTGGGCTTCAGTGTGGGGCCACACATCCCCACCAAGAGAGCGGATAAAGAGGGGACAGTGTGAGCCAGACTGAGAGAGAAAGACAGGTAGACAGACAGGGAGGGTGACAGCTAGCAATTATGGCAGCAAAAGCATAGGTGCCCAGAGGTGGGACACAGGGATCTGCCTGAAAGGGCCGCCTGGGAGCTCGAGGGTTCCAGCGACTCCAGGGGTCCCGAGCTGGGAAGGAATCTAGCTGCTTGAGATACCCATATTTGTAAAGGCTGCCGGGTCAAATTCTGGTTGTCCAGATAAAACTATGGAAGGGGCTGGTCTGGGAAGGGCTGGAATTATGAACACCGGCCCCCATGGGGAGACGCAGGGCCAGCCAGGGCTTCCTGAGTGGTTTCATATGAGAAATGTGTCACCACACATACGATGTGAGTCTGTGAGACCATGAAGGTCATTAGGGCAAAGACATACAGACCCCACCTCCCAGAGTCCCAGCTGGGTGACCTCCTCACCCAGCTGGGAAAGACAGAGGGCAGGAGGCAGGAAGTGCCCTCAGGCCCCGGCTGGGTGTGGGGGAGGGAGGGTGGAGAGGAAACAGACGGTTCCTACCGTGGAACTTCCATCTCGACCCCCAAAATCCCCCTCCAGAGCAATTTCACCACATAAGTAAGCCCCATAGGATGAGCCTCAAGTTCAGAGCTCGAGCACTTTAGGGGCTCATTACCCTGAGGATGGCGACCATGCGGACACTGTGCTCTCCTGCAGTGACTCCTTTCATCTTCACAGTGGCCCACGAGTGAGTATTTCCAGTCCCCACTTATCAACAAGAAAACTGAGGCGGAGGAGGCTAAGCAATGGGTGCACGACGACACAGCTGGTGGGTGGTAAGCAGGGCCTTGAACTCAGGGCTGTGTGATGCTCTTAACCACAATCTGTAGCCTCAGGTAAAGTCCCAGACTCTCCACAATGGGGAGGTTGGACTAGGCCCACACGGTGTCTAAGATATGTTAGATTCGAGGTGATTTCAGGGGAAGCCAAAAGCTTGGCTCTGTCGGGCCTCTCCACCCAACTTGTCCCTCTTTCCTCACCAGCCAGGCATCCAGCCTCCTACCAGCCCAAGACCCTGCTGCAATCAAAGGGAAGGTGGGACCTCCATGCTGCACTTCTGCCTTCCCTGGGTGAAGAGGAGGGCGTGGGGGTAGGACAGTGAGGGGCTGAGATGGAGACGGGGCGCCTGCCCACTCTGCCCATCTACACCTCCAGACCGAATGAATGCCAGGGGAAGTTCACCAAGAGTTTACAAACCTCCTTTGTCACTGAGCGCCGCGGGAGCCATCAATCACGCCCTAATTTACCAGTGTCACTTTCCAGAGGAAAGCTGCCCAGAGCCGCCAGTGGCGCTTCCTCTCTTGCCCACTTGATGAAGATTTTGTCTAATTGGTCCACGTTAAAGCACTCCCAGGAATGCAACGTGCAGTTACCGTGGCAGCGGCAGCAGGGAGCCCTGAGGAGGTGCCCTCCCTGGCATGAGCCTGGAGTCCGTGGGGGACCTCTGGGAAACCCGGAGAACCCACAGAGGGGCCTGCTGGAAAGGGGTCTGGAGAGGAATGTCAGGGATGGGGGAGGGGCAGGCTAGGAAGGAAGAAGGCAGCGCAAAGGATGGATGGAGAATGACAGGGTCTGCCCCCTGCCCTAGGCGGGGACAGGCATCTTGCCTCACAGACATAGACTGGGTCTCACTCTCTGTTGCTCTCCCCGGAAGCCACGTGTGAACAGAGATCCAGAGGGCTGCACTAAGCCTTGCTCAGCACTGACCCCTGACTGGGAATGCCCGGAGCTTTGGCCATCTGGGGCCCTGTAGCTGCGCCCAACACCTTTCCTCCTGCACGCATTTCCCCAGCCACACCAGGCTTCGTTCAAGCTGTTCCCTCCGCCTCAGATGCTGTTCCCTTCTTCATCTGCCTGGTGACCTGGTTGTCCCGCTGGTCCCAGCTGAAACATCACTGACACTAAGATGCCCTTTCAAACTCCCGTGGGCAGGAGGGTGAAATCTGTCTCTCTTCTACCTGGGCTTCCACTGCCCCTAGCACAGGGCTCCTCCCCTCATCTACTTACAAGAGGGTCTTCCTGACCCTCTTGTGAGCTGCATGGGGACCAGGATCATATGTTTGTCATCTTTATACCCCTGCCCAGTGTGCTCGGAACATGGTTGGAGCTTCATCAGTCTCTCCAGAATGAATGAATGAATGACCATCACTCCCCTTAATGCATAGCCTCAGATAACCCACAGGCCAAGTCACCCTCCCAAAACCTGCCAAAGGGCTCTCCTGGGCTGTCACCCTGCTCAGGGGAATCTTGTCCTGGTATGACATTTATCAGGGGCCACCCAAGGAATTCAGCACCAGAGCACCTAAGGCCAGGAAGGGGCTTTGCAGATAAAGAGTCCTCTCCCCTGGGTGACTGTTCAAGGCCACCCAGCAGCCAGTTACCAGGAGGAGAGACACACCTATAATCCCAGGCATTTGAGGAGTCCTGAAGCTGAGGCAACTCCCAGCAAACCTCTAAGAGCTGATCTCTCTGGCCCCTTCAGAATTCTGGGCATATGCAGGGCACCCCCAAGTTCCTGTCCCTGCCTCCCCTATGCTCCCCAGAAGCTACTGCCCACCCGGCTGGTGCATACCTTGCGCTTCTTGGCACGTCCCTCGGCCTGCAGGGTGCGGGTGCAGCGCTGCACACACTCGGAGAAGCTGAGGTTGCTGTGGTCGGCACTGTAGTCGAGGTCAGCCAGCCGCGCCAGGGACAGGATGTAGTTACAGGCGATCCTCAGGATGGCCAGTTTGGACAGCTTCTGCCCATACGAGTAGCACGGCACCTGAGGGGAGAAAGTGTCAAGAGGGGCTGCAGGGGCGCGGTGCCCAGCCTGGCAGGCATCGGAGGTGGCCTGTCTACGGTATATCTGGGCCCTTCACCTTGGTCTTGTGATCTGCTCTATGCACCTGCTGTTTACACACACACATACATACACACGTCGGCTCATCTGCTCTGAGAGGTACCCACATTCCCATTTTGCAGGGGAAGAAACAGGTTCGGCTCATGCCTGCCAGCCAGTCAGTATGAATTGAAGCTCAGTGAATTTCCACAACCACCACGGAGCTCTGTCCTCCACCCTCCTGAGCAGGAATCCCTCTGAGAGAACAGGCATTTTGTTTTTTCAGCTCTGATGTTCCATTCATTCATTCAGCAACACCTGTTTTGCTGGGTACTTGGGGAGTACAACAGTGAATAACTTGATTCCTACTTCAGAGAACTTATGCTTGAGTGAGGTTATAACGTCACACCTGGGACTCTGGGGACATACAGGAAGGAAAGTATCAGTGCTCAGCTGGAAAGACACAAACATGGCTGGTTTTCATTTTTTAAAAATCTTTTACTCTGTGCCCTCAGGACTTGGGGTGCTGCTGGGCAGACAACAGCGGCATAATACACACTCACAGCACTGAACAAACTTGACACGTTTGTCAATGATTCGTCACCAACTAGCTCCTCACTAATTGCACAGGGATTTGTATGGGATGAAAGATGGAGCCTTTGATTTTTTAATACCTCTCTCCACCAATATTCGTGCTGCATGAGCAAAAAGCTCCAAAGACTGCGGTACACTTGAACAGAGTTCTGTCTTGGAACCTGGAAATAGCTCCACAAAATCAACCTGATAGATGCTAACTAATAGACCCCACTGTTCCTATAATGCACTGTTCACCTAAAGGGCTAAAAACCCAGCAACTACGGCTCCTGGTTTTCTCCTCGCTATGGCTCTTCAGGATCTACACGTGTCATCCATATTATTGATGAACCCGTATCCCACAGGGGGTGGGACGGCACGATGCATCTACACAAGTATTTAGTGAGCGCCCACCATATGCCAGACATTCTTTCAGGCCAGTGATTCTCAACCAGGGATGATTTTGTCCCCTAAGGACAGGGGAGTGGGGGCATTGCAGGGACGGAGGTGGGGACGTTGCTAAACATCCTACAGTGCATAGGATCCTACAGTGCCCCCACAACAGAGAACTACCTGCCCCCAAATGTCAATAGTGCCAAAGATGGAAATCCCTATTCCAGAGCACGGAGAAAAAGCATGAACAAGACAGTCACCCCAGACTGGGGACCCTAAACACATCACCCACTTTGATCTCA